GCTCTCTGTGTCTCGCCCTCGCCCCGCAGCCCAGGAGCCCACAGTGATGCCACGACTCTCCTCTGCAGTTCCGCAGAAGGCGAGCAAGATGGGCTGAGGGCAAAGACCTGTGGCTGCACCTGCAGCCACCCTGCAGTGGGGAACAGGGAATAATGTAGGTCACGGGCAGGCAACCCTGGCAGGCAGGCAGCCCCTAGTCTTGTGCTTGGGGAGGCGCACCTGTTGAGTGGGTCAGGATGTGGTGCGGGTGCCCCGGAAATCCTTTGAGATTCTTGGCAGGGAGAAGAATTAGATGTGTAGCCCCTGAGCTCCTTCTGCTTTCCCCCAAGCAAAGTGTCAGCCCACGAGCAGGGCTGAACCGGCTGGGAGACGGTTACGTGAGCCACAGCAACAGTCGTGGGGGTGCAGACAGTTAGGGCAATAGAGCCATGGGCCACCGTTGTGTCCAACTCTTTCCCCACCAACCGTGAGGACCCTAAGGAGCTGAGATGCGAAAGGACTTGCTGTGACCTGCCCACTCGACCCCCCACCTCCAGGACCCAGACGTGGTAGCAGCTACTGTCTTCTAACGCATCTCTGCTGCGATATGACCTGTGAGGTAGCCCTCACAAAACTCTCGTAGGCTCAGAGGAAGGAAGTGACGTGCCAAAGGACACAGAGCCAGGCATTGGGGAGCCAGGATCTGCCTCCAAAATCCGCCCTTTAAGGCTTCAGATTACGCAAGCAACGCATGCACACGGGACAGAATTTGGGTCTTGTAGAAGCGGGTACAGAATAGATTGATGGATTAATTGGTAAGCTCACCATCCTGAGAAAACCCTGCAAAACAGTTTGTGAATTTTCCCTTTCTATTGTTCTGTGCGCCGTACACCCCCATGCACATTGGATTGTTACAAAGACGGGGTACTGTAAGCACAGCTAGTCTTTCTCCTGCTTGTTTGCTTTGGTTTTCCAGGGGCGCTCCCAGCACCCCTGCCTCCACTCTCCCATCTGCTCCCCATAGCTGGTTCCCCAGATCTGGGGTTCCAAACACGGCCATGCAATAGCCCCCACACACCTCAGGGCCCCCAGGGCCCTTCTGCTAAGGGTTCCCCTCAAAAGTAATGGTCCCTGGAGTTCACTTTATGACTTTTAAAAAAGTCACTTTTATGTTCCCTTCTTGGACTGGACAGAGGGTGGACAATGGGCAGCACTTCCCGGGGGTTCAGAGCACGGGTTTTAGAGTCAGGCAGGCCTGGTTGGAACCCCAGTTCTACTTCTTCCTCTCTATATCACCTTGGACACATCCCTTAGCCGACCTGTTCCATACAGGCCACTGTGGCAACAAGGCTGGGGTATGGGGCTCACCAAGAGCTAGCCTCTTGGCTCGCAGGAAACAGAAGCTGACTGACCCAGTGGCGGGGCTGTTCTGGGGGTCACTGCTGCTGCTGGAGCCAACGTCGGCTACTTCCAGAAGTTCATAGAAAAATGGAATGAGGAGGTCAGTTTATTTTGGTGCAAAGCATTTTAAGACTCTGATACAAGGGGTCTTCCAAAGTTCCCGGAAAATGTATATTATGCAAAAAATGGCATGGATCTCAGATTTGTTCGCACCAAAATGAACTTGCAATTCCATTTTTCCCATGAGTTTCTGGACGTACCCTCGTACATGATGGGTATGAGGCTTTTCTACGCGAGGCGTGGAGGTCCGAGCCCTAGAGGTCCTGGGGAGGTGTGAACAGCCGTGACCAAGGAAAGGGGGTGCATCTCCAACTAGGCTTTCACACCCCACAGTCGCCAATGGTTTGGTTCCTGGTTCTCCCGTGGAGTTGGCAGGTTCTGAGAAGCCTGGCGCCTCGTGTTTTGGTGACAATGCAAAGTGCACAGCCAAACAGCCCAGGCTGTGGGAGACAGGAACCACACCCACAAAGGCTGCCAGCACACAAGTGGTGCATTACTGATGGCGACCCCCTGCAGGCGTGCGTCCCTTGCATGCCACATGTCCACTCACGGTGACCAGCAGCCATATACTGACCAGCTGACCAGAGACCTGAGACAGCAGCAAGGTTCCAAGCAGAGAGCACAGGGTCTGAAACCCGGAGATACGAGGTTTTCCAGCTCTAGGACTGTGGGCAGGTGGGCTGACCCCTGACCTCCACGTGACGAAGGGACGTGGTCAACACAGGTTTCACGGGTGTCCATGGACTGCCCGCCCAATGGCAGGTGCTATACGTGTTACCGGCCTTCCCCTGATCCTGAAGAACATGAAGAAAAAGTTTGGATTCTGTCTAGCGGGATTTCGTAACGAAGCTGCGATGAACCTGCTCTCTTATTAATAACTTTCAAAAAGACAGTGAGTCTTGATAGCTAAAATTAAATGAGGTCAAAAGGCTCTCTCTTTGGAGATCATCTCTCATTCATCTCATTTTTCCAAAGAGGAAACTGAGGCCCAAGGTCACACAAAGCAAGCCTCACTGATCCACAGGCTGGAGGGAAAACGAGAGGACGATCACTGTGGCTCCCTGACCTGGAACCTCGGGACCAGCCCGCGGAGGCCGGGGCGGAGGAATCCCGCCTCCTCAGAGTCAGTGTTAATTAACTCATTTCTCTTTTGCCCTTTTCCTATTGTTCCGAGAAGCAATTTCGACTCCGGGCCCCTCTCTCCCACTCCCAGCCACTGCATAAAACTGTCACAGATTAAATCAGATTGTGCAGTTTTCATCAGGGAGCCTCCAGCTCTCATTCTCCGGGGGGCATTCTCACTCCGCTCAAATGAAAGCCTCTCTCGTCTCAGTTAACTCCTTCGTGGAGACGAGGAAGCCAGGGAACAGACCACCGAGGAGATTTCTGGTGGGTGCTTTTGGAGGGCTTCTAGGCTAGCCGCAGCCCCTGCTCTCACAAAGCAGACGAGCAGCGGACAGAAGGGGCTGGAATGCGAGAGACAGAGAGAAGGCGTGCGTTAGATGGAGCCCCTGGGCTGGCAGGAGTGACTCGACCTTCCTCGGCTCGCGACCCTGGGTAGGTTGGACTTGAATTTCTTACAGGGACCCCAGTTTTTCTATCTGAATGCTGCACATTCTCGCCTTTTTCCTCCTTTACTGGATACCAGGGATCACCCCCCAAATACCACGAGAGCCTGTGAGGAGACGTAGAATGCTGCTGGGAAGGACGGAGATGTCAGAGTTCACGGTGAAAGTCGGCAGCCTCTTCCTGACTAGCTTTCTGTACGGCTGTGGGTGAAGGAAGGGGAGGGACAGGCATCAAGGTGCCAGCCTGCCGCTCAGACATGGCTCTGGTCGGCAGAGGCCACAGGCTGGAGGGAAGTGGGTGCCAGCACTCCTGGAGGGGTGGGGTTCAGGGCACAATCTGTTGGTGCTTTGTGACACCTGCTACCATGTGTCTGGTGAGAGACAAACTGGCATTGCTGAGGGCACTGTGGTGGGGGAGGAGCTGGGCTAGGCCAGCACACACCTGCATCAGAGTTTTCTCCCCAGGCACTCAAAGGCCTCAGTGGTCACAGACTGGGTGGCTCAGGCCCAGAGGCAGCTGGGGGAGTGGGGGGAGGGATCCAAGAAGAATGAGGAGCAGGACCGAGGTGGTGTCTGCATGGGATAGCCTGTGCATGTCACACGTCTGCTTTGTGAGGTCTGCATGGGATAGCCTGTGCATGTCACATGTTTGCTTTGTGAGGTCTGCATGGGATAGCCTGTGCATGTCACACGTCTGCTTTGTGAGGTCTGCATGGGATAGCCTGTGCATGTCACATGTTTGCTTTGTGAGGTCTGCATGGGATAGCCTGTGCATGTCACACGTCTGCTTTGTGAGGTCTGCATGGGATAGCCTGTGCATGTCACACGTCTGCTTTGTGAGGTCTGCATGGGATAGCCTGTGCATGTCACACGTCTGCTTTGTGAGGTCTGCATGGGATAGCCTGTGCATGTCACACGTCTGCTTTGTGAGGTCTGCATGGGATAGCCTGTGCATGTCACATGCCTGCTTCGTGAGGTTTGCATGGGATAGCCTGTGCATTACACACCTGCTTTACAAGGTCTGCATGGGATAGTCTGTGTGCATTACACACACACATTCTGTGCAGCGCTGGCAGCCTTTCAGAGCACAGGTTTGCTCCTTCCCCGGTACCGTCTGAGACGGGGCCCTGGGCAGTGCCTGTCCCTACTGCGTCCCTGCTCCCACATGGCCCTGCTGTCCTCAAGGCACTGGCTCAGAGCCCAGACACTTCAGCTGCCCGCCAAGTGTCTGCTCAGCTGAGGGGAGGTGGGTTCCAGTTTCTGAGCATGCATTCTTGAGTGTCTTCACCTGGCCAGGGCCTGGGGACAAGGCTGGCTGGTGTTGGGGTGATGTTCTTAGCACCTTCCCCACCCAGAGAAAGGATCCCGCCACGCCCGAAGGCATCCCCCCGGACCCCAGGCTCTATTTGTGAGAGCGGGGAGAGAAGGGCCCAGGCTTCGCCTTAGCAAGGGCCTTGCCCTCTGCAGTCACCAAGGCTGGGAGCAGCTGAAGGCGATGGGGGGGGGGGTGCACCTAGCGTAGAACCTGAGGCCCTTCCAGTCCCGCCTTCTGTGCTGCAGCTCGAGTCTGCTGACTGTGCAAGCTGGCAATGACGTGGGGAGTGTTACAAAGCATCACCAGGTTATGCATGATGGCGTGTGTAACAGTGTAGCCTATATGGACTTCTACAAATCCCTCGTTTGTTTCCCCTTCTTTCTTTAATAACCCAGGAGTCCCACCAGATACCATCTGTTCCCCTACATCAGGCAGTGTGCAGCCCTGCCTGTTCTGACTGCGAGGTCTTTCCAGAAACTGTGTGGGTGGTCCCCGACTTAAGACTGCTCAGATTACCACATATACACTTTGCAAAAGCAATGCGCATTCTGCAGAAACTGTCCCAGGAATCCTGAATTTCGATTTTTTTCCCCTGGCTCACAACATAAGATACCATTCTCTCTCGTGGCGCTGGGCGATGTGGCAGGGTGCAGCTCCCTGTCAACCCCATGATCCTGGGAAAGTACCACGCAGTGTGCAACAGGTCACGTGGCTGAGACACATTTCCGATTCACAGTATTCTCCATTTACAGAGATGGGTTTTTCAGGATGAGGCCCACCGCAAGCCAAGGAGCAGCTGGATGTGTGAGGCACAGAGGGGACAGATGCCAGCTGCGAGTTGGCCTGGCTGACTTAGGGGCCCTTCCAAACATCTAAGAGCAGGGGGAAAATAAGTTAGCAGCTGGGCTGGGGCCTGTCCCTTCTCTCCTGTCTCTGTCCCCACGAGACAGGGGCAGCTCTATCTGTGGGCGTGGCCTTCTCCAATCCTCTTGCAGGGGGCAGCTTCCCCGAGACTCTGTTCTGTGGTTCTCTACGTCCCTGTACCAAAACACCTGTTCGAGGGCGCAGAATTCGCTCCTTTTCAAGGACATTAATGCCAACAGACCAGAGACGGGCAATGTCCACGACTAACACGTGTTTGACCTCAGGCCGCACTGCAAGTGTTCTGCGTGCTATGAATCAGCTAGTTTTGCAGCCATAACCCAAGGCTGTCCTATGATCACCCCCTCCACAGGCCAGCAAATCTAGCAACTTGCTGCAGACCAGCCACCTGGTATGTGCACAGCCGGAAGGCACGTGGGGTAGCCTTCCTCCAGAACCCACCCTGGAAACGGTAGCGGAGCGAAGGGGCAAGTTAGCATCTGTGGGGCACATCTTAGCTCCACCACCACTTGCCACGTGACTCTGCACCTGGCACCTCTTTGAGACTCAGTTTCCTTCACAGCAAAATGGGTTCATGGAGGCAGGGACTTGGCAACACGCAAAAGCAATGGCAGAGTTGAAAGTCCCTGAGCCGTACTTGTTAAGAAACTCAGAGATGAGAAAAGGCAGGACCCGTGAGGGCCCTCCCTCATCCTTTACCACTCCCAAGCTGCGTGCGCCCTGAATTCCCGCTGCAAGGCAGCTGGTGGCCAGGGTTCCTGAGCGCGGGTCCTTTGTGGGCCCCCCGGAAACGTCGCTCGGCTTCCGACACAAACCCTGCCTCCTGTCCTCAGAGCAGAGGAATGGAAACTTCTGCCACCAACAGTCTCTGCGAGCAACTTCCCTCTCTGTGGTTTGTCTCTGTCATTCCCTTGATAAAAGAATGCGAGCTGCCAGTGTCACCGAGGTTCACGAATCGCATCTTCACACACAAACGGCCGCCCTCCGAGAGCAGGCTGTGCGAGAGGATGCGCCATGCACTCTAAACTGGGTCATTCCCCACTGCCAGGGCGCGCGGCGCGGCTGACTTTCCGTGTGTGTCTCCTGTGCCCCAGGCTCCGAGCGGCCCCGGCGGCCCCAGCAGAGAGACAGATGGGGAACAGCGTGAAGTCCACCCCGGCGCCCCCGGAGAGGCCTCTGCCCAGCTCGGACGGTAAGTCTGACTCTTGGCTCACTCTCTTGGCTCTGTCCCGGGAGAGCCCGAGGGAGACGGGTGGTTGTAACTGCCCCACAGGGCACTGACACCTGGTGAGGCTGTCACCTCACTGGTCTCTGTGCCGCGTTTGTGGCTCAAACGCTACGTACTGAAAAGTGTAAGAGGACGGAGTGTGTGGCACCCCTCAAGGATGCTAAAGAGTTGGCATGTGGAGGTGGCTCTCCAAGACCAGTGAGCTCAGTCCCTGTGCTCTAGAGGTGAGGAAGCTAGGGCTTGCAGAGGGAATGTCACTCATGTCACTCGCCATGCCCAGAGTCAGATCCCCACGCCGGGGCAGCTGACTCTGAGAGCCAGTTAGCCGCTTATCACCGTCTGCACGGTTAGCTGCAAGAGCCTCACCAGCATCCGGCTGCCAGGCTGACGCTCTTTGTGACCACTCCCGGGAAAGAAGCACGCCTGCGTCCCCTGGGCAGGGGCAGGGGGCCAGCCTTCTAGAGGTAGAGCACAAGCCTGCCGCCTCGTCACTGCGGACCAGGCAGCCTTTTCTTTTTTACAGATTTATTGGAAAGTCAAAGTTACACAGACAGAGAGAGGGAGGGAGGGCAGGAGGGAGAAAGAGAGAGAGACAGAAAGTGAGACAGAGGTCTTCCATCCACTGGTTCACTCCCAGGTGGCCACGACAGCCAGGCTGGGTTGGGCCAAAGCCAGGGGCCCAGAGCTCCATCTGGGTCTCCCACGTAGGTGGCTGGGACCCAAGCACTTGGGCCATCATTTGCTGCTTTCCCAGGCAGATTAGCAGGGAGCTGGGTCGAAGTGGAGCAGCCACGACATGAACTGGCACCCATCTGAGATGCGGTGTTGCAGGTGATGGCTTCACCCCCTAGGCCACAACGCTGGCCCTGATACAGGTTTTGAAAAGATGCCAGGTTGGGACAGATTCCCAAGGCTACAAAGAGTTCACAGCCACTGGGAAGGAACAGCAGGGAACAGAGGGCTAAGGCCGAGGGCCGGATCCACTGTGCCCCCAGCTCAGCAGTGCTGGTGACTCTAATGCCCTTGAGTTCACTGCTGAGGATTCCTGGGGTGGGCACTGGGCAGAGGGCACAGCGTGTGGGTGCCCTGGAGGACTGAGAAGGGGAAGGTCAGGGCAGCCACCTGTCCCTCGGCGCCTGCAGGGTGAACACCAAGGGCGATTTTAGGACACTCAGGCCTCCCACCTTCCATCCTGCCTCGGGCCTGGTGTGCATCTCCCGCACCATGACTACCCTGGGCTGCCCCGTGCCCCGCAGCACCGCACTGGGCAGAGTTCCCCGAGCACAGACAGCCATCCTGCCCGCCACGCCGGATCCCACCCTGCCTTTGGCTTTTGCTCCTTGCCTGGCTGCACCGCTCACGCACGTGAATGTGGGGAGACTGCCAGCTCCACCTGCCAGTCAGACCCTAGGGCAGCCTTACCGGCCCTTATTTTTCTAGTGACTCCCCTCCTCAGGTGAAAGGAGGACAAACAGGAGGAATGTTCTCCTGGAGTCTGCGCACAAGGTGGAGCAGAGTGTATGTGCTGGGGGCCCGAGAGGAGAGGGGCTTCTCTACCTCCCATGCAGACCCCAGAACAGGATGCCCTTGTGCAGGCAGTCCCCTGCCTGCTGCCACTGTGGGGAGGCAGCTTGGGCTCCATTTTCACCTTCTCCAAACTGGCTCAGGTCACAGCCTCCTCCGCTGGCCAAGAACCAGTGCTAGAAATCTGCCAGTGCCATGCCCAGGGCTGGGCAGGGCTGGGCTCGGAAGCACCTGCCCCGGCCCTTGTTGTGTTGTGGTCTCTCAGCCCAGGGCACAGGGTATGCTTGAACAAGCCTCAGGCAAACAGTGGCCTCTAAGGACTGGCCCATCTGCCTTTCTTTTTCAGATGCAAATCGTAATGAAGTCAATTTCTCTTTTTCCATTGTGTGGGTGGGAGGGCACCTCTACAGAGAAGGTGAGGGGTCTCCCCACCCCTCCACCCCTTGGTTGAGAGAATTCCCCAGGCCTACCCAGCCTATGATCCAGGCAACCACATCAAAAACTGGTGGGGTGCTTTTTCAACCCCCAACCCCACCCCCCAAAATTTCCCTTATCACCCGTCCTGACTTTGTTTCCTCTTCTCTCTGACGTCAACCACGGAGGAGAGGAAAGTGTAGTTGGTGATGCTTTGGTCCCTGTCTGCAGGCTGCCCAGGGTTGGGGTCCTCATGGCACGAGCTCCGTCTGAGCTAAGTCTCCTTCTTAGGTTAGTCTTAGTCTCAAACACGGAGGAGATGGTGCAGCTCCTGCTCCTCCTTTAGGACACAGGTGGTCTGGCCCCGTCAAGGCAACTGCAGGCGACACTCGAAATTCATTAAGTGCACCGCAGGCTAATTTTTAACTTGGTAATTTTGTATGACCCATGAATGATGTTATAAATACCCAAATGGCCCCTGGCAGGAAAAAAAGGTGTAGGCCAACACACACGTACAGCTACCTCTGATGCTAGATGAAATGTCCACGGGCCCAGGGCACTGCCGCCCGGGCCCTGCACAGGGTCAGCAGGATGCCGACCTGCACGCTCTCCCCACACCAAGACTGGCTGCCTCGGGGCATCTGGCTCTTCTCCCAAACTAAGCTTCCCGACACATTCTTCATTAGTCCGCTTCGCAGGGGCTAGAGCGTCACCAAGCCCACAGAGGCAGCAGGACTCGAAGGAAATGGGCCAGGTTTCAGAGGCAAAAGATCCTGACCCAGCTTTTGGAAACACAAAGAGCCTCACAGACTATAAGGTCCCAATCTGTCCCTGTAACAAAAGGAGAAACCAAGATTTGGGGCCAAAGATAACTTTCTGTACAACTGGAGCTATTAAGAATATTTACTACTCTTATTAAGGACTAGGGTGGGCGTCTGGTATGATGTTTAACTCACTACTTGGGAGGTCTCCTAGCAGGAGTGCCTGGTTCAAGTCCTGGCTGCTCTGCTTCTGATCCAGCTTCCTGCCAAGGCACACCCTGGGAGGCAGCAGATGACGGCTCAAGGACCTGGGTTCCTGCCACCCATGTGGGAGGTCCAAGTTACGTTCTAGGCTCCTGGCTTCGGCCTGACCCAGCCTTGACTGCTGCAGGCATTTGGGACAAGTGAACCAGTGAAGGAAAGCTCGCTCTCTATTAAGAATGACATTCTTAAGAGATGATCATGATGTTCCAAAGACTAACACCTGAAAAGCAGACCTAAGCAGTCCCAGTAGCCGCTGAGCTCCGCCCGGGCCTGATTCTTCACCTCCTCCTTTCCACTCGTTCAGCCGGCTCCTTGCTGAGTTGAGCTCTCAGCAAGTATTGTGTATTTTAAACTTCAGTTTCTGTTCTCACCAAACAGAGCTGGTGTTTAGATGAGAAGACATTGTCGCATCAAAACACAGTTGGCGGAAATTGGCCCCGGGTGATGGAACAGTAACCCTGCTCCCCTGAGAAGGGTGCCAGCTGCCTGCCACTCACCGAGGCAGACTCTAAATGTACGATTTATCATGAATGCTTACCCCAATCAAAGGAGGCCGATGTGGCTATCGCCCTTTTTACACATGAAGCAACCCAGCTCAGGTTAGTTAAAAATAAAATCTTTCCCCAAATCGCAGAGCTATTAAGTGGTGAAGGTGGAATTGAAGCCAGGTCTGATTGATTTCAAAGTCCATTCTCTTTCTACAAAGCTCCCCTGAAAATTCTCTCTGGATTTCTTCTTTCATGCCTGGCACATATTTCTTTACTTAATTCATTTTCTTATCTTAAGCCTGCAATAATTCCACCTCCTTCCTCAGCATGCCCCATCTGATGGAATTCAAATGCTCAGCCAGTCACAAAGCCAGGAGCCTCGGGAGTACATGGTGATATGCTTGAACTTCAGGAGTAAACTTGAATTTCCTACCTTACAGAAGACCAGGGACGTGTTGGGAGGGGTCTCGGCACCATAGCTTGCTCAGAAAGGCCCCCTTCCCCGCCGCCATACCTTCTGGTTTCTAACACTGATGATGCAGGGAACGGGGACCCATACTAGACCCCCTGCCAAGGACCAGGATGGGCCACGGAGTCCTTAAGAAGAAGCCCAAGGCCGGCGCCGCGGCTCACTAGGCTAATCCTCCGCCTAGCGGCGCCGGCACACCGGGTTCTAGTCCCGGTCGGGGCGCCGGATTCTGTCCCAGTTGCCCCTCTTCCAAGCCAGCCCTCTGCTGTGGCCAGGGAGTGCAGTGGAGGATGGCCCAGGTGCTTGGGCCCTGCACCCCATGGGAGACCAGGAAAAGCACCTGGCTCCTGGCTCCTGCCATCGGATCAGCGCGGTGCGCCGGCCGCGGCGGCCATTGGAGGGTGAACCAACGGCAAAGGAAGACCTTTCTCTCTGTCTCTCTCTCTCACTGTCCACTCTGCCTGTCAAAAAAAAAAAAAAAAAAAAAAAAAAAGAAGAAGAAGAAGAAGAAGCCCAAGTGGTTTCTAGGTGTGAGAGCTGTCAATTCATCACCATGGGACAATGGCTTCAAAGGGAAGTTCTAGGGGTCAGAGGTATGGGTGTAGCAGGAAGGCTGAGGCTCCTCTGGAGCTCCTGGGCAGGTGGCCTTGGTGTTGACTGAGGTGGGAGGAGCAGGCCAAGGGACAGTTCATGTGCTCCAGGCTAAGGGAACAGCTTCTGCAGGGGCCTTGGGGCCAGGAGCCTGGCAGCTTTGAGAAAGAGCGGCCACACTGAGCCGAGGTGGCGAGGAGCATGCTAGCAGGAAGTCCTTTCAGATACGGGGCCATCAGTCTGGGAAGAACAGAGTTCCACCAGGGAGCCATTCTCCAGCCGCTCGTCCTACAGATAAGGAAACCCAGGCAGCAGAAGGGAAAGACGCTGCCGCCTGGGCCAGGGTGTATCAGCCCCAGCCTCTGGGCACATGTATCGGAAGCTGAGCAAGTCACGGGCCTGAGGCCCCCTCACAGGCCCTGCGTCCTCCTGGGCTGCCCCTCATGTTGTGTTTGCAATTTCAAGTTCTGCTTAGGAGGACCTCCTGATTTGCATAAGCGACTCGCCCCACCACATCTGGATCAGCCCCTTCTTAGAACTCGGGACTTGGGGCTTCAAAGCCAGCACCAGGTTACACAAGGAAAGGCTCCCTGGTTTTTGGAATTCAGGGAGGCGGGAAGTGGGGTGCGCCCCTGTGGGCACAGGGAAGGTAGGCAGGGAGCTAGGCCTGTGGTCCTGCCTCTCCAGCCCTGGCATGGCCCCTCAATGCTTTTTCCTAGGACTCTAAGGTCGCCAAAGACCACGTTTTGTTTCCATCTCACCCCAGAAGCTCTTGCTCTTACCTGGTGTACTTGTGACTCAGCCTCCCCAAGGGCACAGCCCGCTGGAATGCCCTGTCCACTGTGCTACCTTGTCTCTGATTCACATACCCACTGGTGACCAAACGTTTCTCCAAAACCCTCATCCATCCCCCTGACTCATTCTACTCTGCGACCTTTCTTTGTCAAAGAGACCTGTGACTTGGAGACCCTGGGACATCTGGGTTGTAGGAGGCAGGATCTGGGGGTGCCAGCGTGGGGGCGTCTTGATCCTAGTAGGCAGTCAGTTTAGGCACAGAACTCGCCCGCCGCTTGTGGGCCGGAGTTTCTTCAGATGTCCCTGGGGAGAGGGACCAGGGAATGCCACCTGCCAGGGCGGTGTCTGTGTTCTCTAGTATGCGAGCTCCGTGAGAGCAGGGGGCCCGGTCTGCTCTGCTCGCCAATGCCTGGCTTGAGGCAGACGCTCTCTGAATAACTGCTGGTTGAATGAATACATGGTGTGTTCCCCAGAATTCTGAGTTCAGATGCCCAGCCAGCAGGTGGAGCGATTGTTGGCACAGCTGGCAATGACTGTATTTGCTAATTTGTAACACAGAGGATTTCCCCACAAATGTACCCCAAGATCACCCTGCACCTAGTGCATCTCAATTATGGTAAATCACTAAGGATGTAAGACAGATATACTGCCTAGCATCAAAAAGCAAATTCCGGGGCCAGGGCTGTGCCACTGCCCGTGACACTGGCATCCCACACTGGAGCACTGATGCCAGTCTCAGCTGCTCTGCCTCTGACCAGCTTCTTGCTAATGCTCTTTGGAAGGCACGGAGGATGGCCTGGGTGCTTGGGCCCCTGCCACCATGTGGGAGACCAGGATGAGGTCCTGGCTCCTGGCTTCGGTCTGGCCCAGACCTGGCTGTTGTGGCCATTTGGGAAGTAAACCAGCAGATGGAAAATCTCTCTCTTTGCCTCTCCCTGTCTGTCGCTCTGCCTTTCAAATGAACAAACAAATCCTTTCAAAATAAAAGCGGCTTCCTACATTCTCACTTTATCTCTACGTAAGCTGTGGTCACATGAACCAAGTACATAGCATTCCCTCCTTTTCAAGACCTCACTAGAATTATTTTCCATACACATGCAATGACAAATATTTTTCTTCTCCCTCCTCACCCCTGACAAAAGTCTCTACTCAACAGATCCCCAACATAGCTCCTTATTACATGCAGGAATCTCAAAAAGCTCATGGAAAATGGAATTTTAAAAAGCAGCTCATTTTGGTGCAAACATTTTTGAAACCAGTGCATGGTTTTTGCATATGATGCATTTTCCGTGAACTCTGAAGAGCCCACCCCATTCTAGGAGGAGAAGTGCTTCCTTTCACCTCAGAGTTGGTGACCTCACCTGTCGTGGGGCCACAGGGCTCTTTCCCCAGGGAGGGGACCGGAGACAATGGGAATAAAAGGGACTTCTTTGTATCTGAGAGACACAGCTCCCATCTGCCGGTTTACGCCCCAAATGCCCGCATCAACTGAGGCTGGCCAGGGCTGAAGCTGGGAGCTAGGAACTCAATCGAGGCGTCCCGCATGGGGTGGCAGGGACCCCACTCTTTGAGCCACCACTGCTGCCTCCCACAGTCTGTGTTAGCAGGAATCTGCAGTCAGAAGCTACAGCCAGGAATGGAACCCAGGTACTCCAACATGGGATGCAGGCGTCTTGACTACCAGCTAAAAGTCTGTTTAACATCAGGAGGTGATGCTATAAACATTCATCTTATCTCCTAAGGACCTTGGAGGGAGGCGTTATTACCCCCGTTTAAAGAGGAAAAGATTGGGGCCAGTGCCATGGCTCACTTGGTTAATCCTCCGCCTGCGGTGCTGGCATCCCATATGGGCGCCGGGTTCTAGTTCCGGTTGCTCCTCTTCCAGTCCAGCTCTCTGCTGTGGCCCAGGAAGGCAGTGGAGGATGGCCAGGTGCTTGGGCCCCTGCACCCACATGGGAGACTAGGAGGAAGCACCTGGCTCCTGGCTTCGGATCGGCACAGCGCCAGCCATAGCGGCCATTTGGGAGGTGAACCAATGGAAGGAAGACCTTTCTCTCTGTCTCTCTCTCTCACTGTCTAACTCTACCTGTCAAATTAAAAAAAAAAAAAAAAAAAAGAGGAAAAGACTGAGTTAAGGAGACACAGGGGCAGGACCTGAAGCCCAGTCCTGGGACTTCAGCTCACAGGCCTCAGTCTACTGGTTTTTCGGGGGAGAACACCAGAGCCAAGGCAGCTAGAAGGCAGGAGTGTGCCACCAGCCCCAGGCTCCTGCAGGTGCCTGCACCTGCCACACCCCTGAAGAGGAGGCCACTGCGCCCTGCAGGGTCAGAGCTGGAGGCCCAAGGAGCCCATCACCCCCACACCCTCCCCTCCCAGGCGCCTTCCAGGACCTTGTGAGTAAAAACACCTGGTGCCTCTGTCTCCCCAGGTCTGGAGAGTGACTTCCTGGCTGTGCTGAGTGACTACCCGTCTCCTGACATCAGCCCCCCAATATTCCGCCGCGGGGAGAAGCTGCGGGTGATATCTGAGTGAGTTCACTTTGCAAAACTTTCACAACCCTCACAAGTGAGTGAAGCTGGTCTGGGGGGCGTGGCTAGCGTATGGCTAGTCATCCAGCTGCAGTCAGCCCTGGTCCCCACTGTGAGATGAGAAACCAGGTGCACACTGCGACTCTCCTCCGTGGCTCCTCATTGCCTGGGAGATAAAGATTTCCTTTGCTTGCCTTGGCTTTTGACAGTGCTTGGGAGTCAACTTCCGCTTCTCACAGTGGCCTAGCGCCCATCACATGGGCGGTTTGCAGCCAGGGAAGTAAGACTCGGGTATGAAAACATGGCCACTGATGAGCAAAAAGCATGGCTCTCCAGCCTGCTGTCTCTCTAGCCTAACTGAAAATGGGCTGAAGAACTGAATGAATGAACAAACAGCTCCTCTATTTACAGCCCCACCGATGTGCAGCCATTTTTGACTCGATGGCAGGGTACCCAGCAATACAGGCAAATTGATTTTTACAAAGGCTCCTTCGCTGGGTGCATCAGCTGGTGCTACCCGGGGGGAATGGTTTACCAGTTAGCCTGGTGTGGGCAGCCGTGACTAGATGTACATATTCTAAAAAGCAGGCTTTCCGGTGGAGTGATTCTGGTTACTGTGGCCGAGGACAGACCTTGGAAGAGAGCTGTCCACTCCAATCGCTCTGTCCACTCATCTGCTGCCATCACTGACCTGCGCACCCGGTCCTGTCTGTTCTTGTTCCTGCAGTGAAGGGGGCTGGTGGAAAGCCATCTCACTCAGCACTGGCCGTGAGAGCTACATCCCTGGAATGTGCGTGGCCAGGGTTTACCATGGGTGAGTACATTTCTCAGGTAGATGCGCTAGAATGCTGGCAGCTCACAGGGGGCCCAGCATGCTGGTGTGGATGGCAAGGAAGGTGTTGATTTGAGAAAGGAAGCTCCTGCTCCCCACTCGGCCCATGAGTCAAGAGGAGACCTTGGCCTAATTCATCACTCTTTCCTGGGATGAATGGAAGAAGTTAGCTCACGGCTCTCCCACACTGCACCTGGCTCGTGGCCGCACCACAGCACACCTGGCACGCGGCAGCAGGCACTCAGAAGCGGTGATCACAGGACACAGCAGGGAGCTGCGGCTAGACACCTATCTGTCTGGAGCCCAGTGCTGCCTCGGTCGCTCACTGGCCTGTGACGGTGGACAAGGCACTTAACTTTCTAGGCCTGTTTCCTTTCCTCCACTGCCAGACAGACATCCGGGACAGTGACCCCCGAGTACAGGGCAGTGAGGAGGATGAGATGGGAGCAAAGCAAGGGTGAAGGGCGCGCTCAGTCCACCCCGGCTGCCTTCTCATCAGTGTGCAGTTGGAGCCCTGCGGTGTGTACCCACTGCTGGAAACGCTCCAAGAACCGAGGCGACGAGTGCAACAGGAAGAGGAAGACACAGTTCAGAGTCGGCCTTGGCAGAGGAGAAAGCAGCACCTGTCTTCTGTGGCTGTGCAGGTGAAGGTGTGTGGCCTCCCGGGCACGGAAGGACGGCCCACCTGGGCTCCAATCCTGACTCCCCCGCTTCCACGGGTGGGCCTTGGCAAACCCCCCTAACCTCCTTGAGCCTCCTCGAGCCTCCTCGAGCCTCGGACTCCTGAGCTGTTAAGCTGCCACAGCTGGATCCCAGCAAAGAGGCGTCCCACACACAGGGAAAGGGGGAGACAGAAGAAGCCCCGTTTTCATGCACGGTAACGTGAACTTCCTGGGGACCGCACCTGCCACACGCACGCTGTCTAGAGAAGCAGAGCTAACCGCCTGGACACCCTGGAGGCTGCAGCGATGATCCTAATTATGAGCAGTCGACACGATTGCTGGGCTCAGGATGGGACGGTGGGGGAAAGCGGGCCAGCGGCCGCGGTGCGAGGCACGTCCTGAAGGAGATGCGAGCCGCGGACCCTCCTAGGTCAGCTGCGGGTCCTGGGTCCTCACTCCTCTAGCAAACGTGCCCAGTGCCTCCGTGACAAAGACATGGATCTGAAGCGGCCAGGAGCTAGGAGCAACGAGAACCCAGATGGGTGCACAATGGCCCCCGAGCTACCCGTCTCACAGCCGCAGCAGCATTCCTTAGCACGAAGAACAAACGGGGCGACACGGTCAAGGACTGGGATGCAGCAGGGCTGTCCCTGCAGAAGGCCCTCCAGGTCTAGCTGTGTCAGTCGCTGACATGGCTACTCGGACAAACCACTTTGGCACTCTGACCCCTCCGTGGGAGAGGGAGACAGTGAGAGGGCCGAGGTGAGGGCCACCTCTCTGTGCTTCCCCCAGGAGGCGGCCCTGAGTTAGCGCTCTCTTGTTACTGCTGTGTTGCTTTCATCCTTGGGAGTGGACTTTCATGTAAGGACTTGAACGCACGAGTGCTTGCCACATACACGGAAATAATTAATGCATCATGCACTATGCAAGCCAGAGAAATTGCTGAGCTATTTGGTCCAGTGCAGCACGCCATGGTCTCCACAACAAAGCTGTTACAACGATCAGTGCACAGCTGAGGGAAAGCTGCTGTCGCAACGCTGAGTCTTCTCCCAGGGTGCTCAGGGAGCACTTGACCAACCTGCTCCTGTGCCACGGAGGATGGGAGCGGCTGCATAACAGGGCACGGTCAAGAGTAGCCATGGTGTGCAGGGACTGGGCCTGTGGCATAGAAGCCAGGGCACACTCACTGAGTCACAGGGTCTCCCACGTGGCAGTGTGCACCTGCTCCTGAGGACACACCAGCCAGCTGCCAACGGAGTATTTCCTTCCCTGCTGAGATCTGGCGGAGATGGATCTGACAGACGAGCAAGGGTCTCTCCTGGGAACACAGATCCCTTGTGTCCAAGCAGCTTGCTAAGAGCATGCAGAAGGGCTGGCTCCCCTAAGGCAGGTGAACCCTCTATTGGATATCTGGGCCACAGCATAACACCTGCTTTTCCTCACCAAATGAAAAAGCAAGAATCACACATAAGCATATAGCTCAATGACAAATGTGTTCAAAGTCTGCGAGGACAGGGGAGACAACCAGGAAATATAATGACTGCAAAGTGACATTTGTTAGGCCAGTGAAATGCTGTACTGCCATTTGTTTCTTCCTTGTGGCTACTCACTCATTCACAAAGATATACCAACAGCAATTCCCTGGACACAAAGCCACAGCCCCCACGACAGACATCCCTACAGCGAGCAGACGATCAGAGAGACATACAGTAAACAAAGCACCCAGCAGGCACGTTAGCATGTGTTGTAGTGCGCATCAGTTACATCATCATCTGGACTGGGGACACCCCTGCTAGCCCTGGAGAATAGGACGAGGAAGACATCGTATGCATTGCTGTATCGTCATCTGGTGGGACACCTGGCACAGGAAATTCCATTTGGAAGATTAAAAATATGAACGACTGAGGGGGCACCTGTCCCCATCTTTTCAATTCCAGCAGCTTGACATCACTCAGGCCTGAGTTTCAGGTTCACTTGGACATGACCAGGATGACTGTTGGCCTGCCTGTCCTTTGTGGTGGTGGTGACTGGGGGTGGGGGGTGCGCTCAGGTCGCACTCGGGATGCTCACTGCCATCTTCCCACTTCCCAGCTGGTTGTTTGAGGGGCTGGGCAGAGACAAGGCCGAGGAGCTGCTGCAGCTGCCAGACACGAAGATCGGCTCGTTCATGATCAGAGAGAGTGAGACGAAGAAAGGTGAGTGGCCCGGCTTTCCGTGCTCAGGGCAGACAGGCAGGGTCTGTCCCCGGCTGACTCAGTACAGAACTCCCTTAACCTCTTCCCATGGGCATGCAAATCCACCATGTGTGGTCAGCGCCCTGCAGCCCACATACCACTGGGGAGGCAGGCAAAGCCAGGCAACCAGAAATGGGGCCATTCTCCCTGGCCCTGAATGGTATCAGGCCCTGCACCTCCCGCTCAGAGCCTTCCATCAAGTGAGAACCAAAGTGAATGCCAGGTGTGGGCGATGTGCTGCGGGAGACCGAGCGTGGACGCTGCTGTAGGCCTGGCCTGGCCTCTGTGATGGGGCAGATTAGTGGCTGAGTTTTCTCATCTGTGAAATGGAAGGAAACCCCTCCCTCGTAAGGCTGTGATGAGATTCAAATGTCCTAACATCTGGAGGGCTCTTGCCACACAGGAAGCCCTCGGTGGGAGGTCCCTCTGCAGCTTAGAGAACCAGGGCGCACAGAGGCCTGTGCTCACACAGCCACTGCCACCTGCTCCCTTATGACTGCCTGGCCCCAGGGCAAACAGCCCTAGCAGGGGCTCTGTCCTGCATCCCAGCAAAGTCTCAAGTCATAGCTTCAGCCCTGAGAATTAATCAGCCCTGACCTCTGCCTCCCTTACTTACAACTCGGGGGTTAACTGGAGACAAGAGCTTAGTACCAAAGGCTTCAACTCTCAGAAGCAGAACACCGAACCGCTACAACTTCCCCCAGCTAAATCATAGCTAATAAAACCTTTCACATGTAGAAGATGCTTGCAAGCTCTGAGCCTGCTTCGTGTACACCCGCAGTCAAAGGGGTGCTGCGCACCTACTAAGAGCCAGCGCCTCCTGGGGCCCTTAGTGAACAGGTGCAGCAGCCTGGCATTGGGGAAGCAGGGACTTGGGGGCTAAGGCCCTCCTAGTGACACTTCGCTCTCAGAAACCTGAATGCACTGTGGGAGTACAAAGCAAGGCAGAAACAAAACCCCATGTGCGTGTCCCTGGGGTCCCCATGGCAAGATGCCCAGACTCAGGGCCACCTCAGCTGGCACAGCCACGGGGAAGAAGAGCCCAGTGCGGGCGCCACAGCTCATCCAAACAGGAAGATGCCCTCAGGCAGATCTGCAGGCAGGCTGGGGTGGGAGTGGCAGGCAGCTCCCTTGGGGACGCAGAGTTCTGACGATTTTCCACCCCCTGCCCTTGACCATACTTCCAGTTCCCGTTGACATGACGAGAAGTCACTCGCTGGGGAGGGGAAGGGGGCAGGCCTGGGCACATTTAAGTACATCCTTCAGAAGGTTCTACGCAGGCACTTCAAAGAGTTCATGGAAAATGGAAGCAAAAGATAACTTACTTTTGGTATGAGACAAAACTGAAATCCATGCATACGTGCAATCTTCAGAAAGTTGATGAAAAAAAGTCATAAAAAAACTATATATGGATTTCAAAAGGTTTTTGCCCTACAATAAGCTTATATTTAATCCCACTTTACACAAACCTTTGGTGGTGCCTTGCTAGGAAGCCACACGCAGGCTGCCCTTCCCACACTGGGTGTCTGCCCGTATTCCCAATTTCTAAAACATTTGGGGACAATGCTTCCTGGGATCTTTTGGAGAATTGACAGAGATGTTGCTTAGCAACAGCTCAGCCCCCTGCTCCATTCTGACAGCCGAGATTCAATAGACACCAGTTCTTCACATCTCGTGGCCTCCTGAGCGTATGTCCAGTCCTGAATTCCCAGAAGACAGAGCCAGCAGAATCCCCAGACACCACCCAAGTCCACTTCTCTGTTTCAGCTGGGGAAATCAAGGCTGAGAGAGGTGATGGCAGGAGGCTGAGGTCCTCCTCCCTGGGTCCAAAAACGCTGACGGGAGAACCACACGGCTTTCCCACACTTCTTTGGTATACCTAGAAACACGCCTTACCGGCCGCTTGCTCTCTGTCTGAGAAAACCAAGCTGAAGTTCGAGGGACAGGAAAGGGGGTGGGACTGTAAGACCCCACCATCAAAAGGAAGAAGACAGCCGTGGAGACATACACAGGGAATGACCACAGATCTTGGATCTCCGGGTTGCAACCAAACTATGCATTTAGTTTGTCCTAAGGGGTTGCAGAAGCGTGAGGAAGCACCCCAAACGTCCACCTCAAAAGGCCAGGGAGTGTGAGTGCTTGGTGCAGCGGTTGAGCCCTGCTTGAGACACCAGTGTCCCACACCTGAGAGCCTGGGTTCAAGTCCAAATCCACTCCCAGTCCCAGCTTCCTGCTATTTTGCACCCTGGTAGGGGGTGGGCAGTAAAAAGGCTCAAGCAGTTGGGTCTCTGGCCCCATGTGGGAGACCTGGATGGAGTTCCTGGCTCCTGGCTTTGGCCTCGCCCAGCTTCAGCTGTTGCAGGCATTTGGGGAAATGGAGGATGGACAGAAGATCTCTGTCTTTCAGATAAGAAGGAAGGAAGGGGAGAGGGAGGGAAGGAGGGAGGGAGGGAGGGAGGGAGGAAGGGGAGAGGGAGGGAAGGAGGGAGGAAAGGAGGGTGGGGGATTAGGCCTGTGCACTTGGGAACCCATATTGGGTCCCAGGGTCCAGGCGTGTGGACTGCTAAAATAACACACTCTATGGCCTCTAACCACAGAGCCCAGTGGCAGTGGGGGTAACACTCTGTCTCCGTGGCGCTGGGCTGTTGGTGGCTGCCCCTGGGTGGGGACGTGTGGGCACCGCTGACATCTGCTCGGCCTCCGCAGGTTTTTACTCGCTATCTGTGAGGCACAGGCAGGTGAAGCATTACCGCATCTTCCGCCTGCCCAACAACTGGTACTACATTTCCCCGAGGCTCACCTTCCAGTGCCTGGAGGACCTGGTCAACCACTACTCTGGTAAGGAACCCTCGGTGAGGACCAGAGGCAGGCGCCTAGCTACCTGCCCAGGGGCGCCAGCAGGCAGGCCTGTGCCCGGCTCATCCCCAAAACGCCTCTGATTTACTCCTGCTCCCTACGCATCTCAAAGCCGCCCTCTTCCTACCTGTAAACAGGCCACATCAGCAAGCCCCATCCCCACAACCACAAGCACGCTGCACTTCCTGCCTGCCGTGGGCCCTCCGGGGCTTTGCTCCGCAGTGCCACTCATTTCCCCTTTTCTTGTCGTGGCCAGCAGCAACCCAGCTCCTCAATGAAGCCCCAGGGGAACGACTCACGCACACGCTCCCTAGCCCCTGGATGTGGCCCAGTTAGTCCCGTCCTGGTCTGCACTTCCCACCAGCTCTAAGACTAGGGACTGTATCTCTCTCCTTTCTGAGTCCTTCCTGCACCCAGGGCCAAGGTCCAGAGGTTCCCAGGCTGCCTCTGCCCCAGACACCCGGGGCAGGGGACACAGCAGGGTCAGAGAGAGAGCGGAGTCGGACGGTGGAAGGCTTGGGCACCAGCTCTAGTTGGAACGCTGTCCCCATAGGAAAGAGGTCAGTGCTGGGCATTTGGCTAAGTTTCCAGAGACTGGCTGGGAAGTGCCGTGTTGAGGTCCCAGGTCCCAGCTGGGCAGGTGCTGGCGGGGTCACTGCCTCCTGGGGCCTCCCTCCCTTTACTGGTGGAAGGCAGGTACTCATTGCTCCTGTCTCCCAGGGGTGCTGAGGAGTCACAGAGGGAGCGCGGGCAAGGGGCTGTGCAGGGTGCCGGGCACACCAGCACCAGCACCCACCAACTGGCCTCAGCTTTTCCTTGGGCAGGACTTCCTCCTCGCACCTCCTCTGCTCAGGCAGAGGAGGCGAAGAAGCAGCTGCTCTCACCCCTTCCGGGTGCCGACCTCATGCTCCTGGGGGAATTTGTTCTTTAGGCTCTGGGGTCGTGAACCAAAGACATGAAGGGTATTCCAAGGGGGAAGAGCCTTGCGTTGTCACGGCTGCCCTACGAGAAGCAGCAGTGATAAAGAGATCTAGGTGTGGCCAGAGGCAGGGCCCAGCTGGCATCCGGCTGTGGGAGACCCTGGCCAAGGTCCTCCACCACCCAGAGCTGTGCTCTCCACTCATGGAGGGTGGGTGACCGGCCACACGGGTCCTCTAATGTATCCAGCCAAGCCTGGTATGTGCCAGATGCAGAAAAAATGATATCTAAGGTGGTTCCTGGGATACCCGAAAACCCAGCAGCTCGTTAAAAATGAAAGAGGAAGGGAGTCCTGGAAACAGCCCGTTTTTACTGGGTATGAGCACAGGTTGTTTGTGGTATTTGGCTTTTAATAACAATCATCAAAGTGATGTGGAGACCAGAAGTTTTGCATACACTAAAGCAAACATGAGAAGGCTACTGCCCCAGCAAAGTGCTGACAAACCGGGAGGGGAGGCCACCAGGAGGCCGGGTCCAGAACACCTGTGTCCACCTGAGGCACTGCATCAGGGGGAGGATCTCACCCTCAGGCCCCAGCTGTCGCGTCACTCAGCGGTCCCAGTCATCGGTTGACCTCGGCAGAGGTCCCCAAGTAGAAAGAGCAGAGATTCTTCCTGGAGGCACTGAGTCAGAGATGCAGAGCGCCAGATCTGGCACACGACCTCGTTTTGCAGGTTGCTTTCGGTTCTTGTGCTTGTGCCTTTGGGGAGACCGCCTAACATCTCAGAACGTCAGTCTCTGCCTCTATAAATGGGGATTAAATGCCTCTGCAGGCGTGGTGCACGGGGAAATCCTGGTGCCTAAAAGACTTCGTGCACGGAGGTTACTGAAAGAGTGGAGGCACAAATATGGCTGGGAGGAGAAAGGGCAGTGGCCTGGGGACGCTGACCTCGGAGCTCAGGGAGTGACAGCAGAGCGACCAGGCCAGCAGTGAAGATCGGGCTACGACACACTGGTGCGTCCAGACCCAGACCCAGGGGGAGCGCCTTGCTTCTCTGCCTCAGAAGCTCTGCGTCGCTCATAGACCAACCGCCCGACTCTGCGTCAATGAAATGGGTTTCGGTCACATGGTCACATGTTCCGTCCCCCAGCAAGTGACGTGACCCTGGACGCCTCAGTTTCCTCAACCCCAAATGGGTCTGGAAAATTCCACTGCACCAAGTAGACGTGGGCCTCAATGAGATGGAGGGGTGAGGCTGGCTCAGCCCTCGGCCTGTGCTACCAGCTTATAAGGCAGAGTGCTTGTGCTCCTGGCAAAACAGAGCCTTAACCTGTCCCAGGTGGGACACGCGCCATGAGCATGCCAGGACTGTGCCATGGCCGAGCTGACTCTGCCAGTCTGTCTCTCACTCCATCTGCCTCACCTCCTAACCTGGGAGGTCATTTCAATTTCCAGCCATGACAGGCAAATTATTTGAGATTCATATCCAATTATGCTTCCCACTGACCTCACCGTGCCACCTCATCTTTTTCCTGAAAGGCCCCATGTGGGTGGACCCTTGAGTCCCCGGGGAAAGTCCCACTGCACCCACGGAACGGGGCATCGTTGCCCGATGGGCTGGTGTGCTTCTCGGGCTATAGTTTCCTTCTGTTCTTTGGCAAATCGGGTGGGAGGGGGAGGTGGGAGGGATGTGGCGCTGAAAGCAGTGACAGGTGGGCTCCAGGAAGCGGCGGGGGCAGGGGTTTCTGTCCTGCTGGAGACCAGGGCACTGCACGTCTGTGGTCCCTGTGCTCCTGGGGTGGGGGGCAGAAGCAGCCCTGGGCTGTTCAGGCTAAACCAGGGGGCAGAGTTTCTGCACCTGCTCTCAGACACCTCTTTCCCACAGGGACCTGGGCTCCCAGACCCGGAGGCCTTGTCTTAATGTCCCTGGGAGCTCAGCTCTCTCACATGAGCCAAGGAGACAGAAATGGGTTCGCTCAGTTTCCTCTCTCTCCGCCCGAGTACATGGGGTAGATGGAGATTTCCTTCCCTCTGTCTTGGGCCCCGTGCTCTCTTCTGCCTCTGGATCATTGCTCCCACCTCCTTCCCTGCGTCTTTTGTGCTCTGTGCCCTCCTCACTGCCACCCCACCCCCACTGCCTCCCATGGCCCCCTTTCCCTTGCTCCTTGACTCCCGTATTTCTGTTTCTTTTCCCTTCCATTTCCTTTCCTCAGCAAGGCCGCCTTGCTGAGGCTCACCCATGGGGCCAGGCTGCCGCTGCAGTCACCTGTCACCTCATTCGCCTCCACTGCCACGGAGGAGGCGAGGTTCAGAGGTCCAGGGTCATGCCGTCCCATCGGGCACAGCCGGAATTCACACGCAGGCTGAGCTGCTCTGGACCCTGCACCCTTCTCCGTGTACAAGCACCCTCAGGGCATCTTAATGCTTCTCAAAAACAGGGCGGCCTCACTCGCAGCCTCACCCCTGCCTCACTGGCTGCCTCGCTCCCACCTCACTCACAGCCTCGCCCCTGCCTCACTGGCTGCCTCACCCCTACCTCACTCACAGCCTCATCCCTGCCTCACACACAGCCTCACCCCTGCCCCTGCCTCACTTGCTGCCTCACCCATGCCCCTGCCTCACTCGCTGCCTTGCCCCCACCTCACTCACAGCCTCACCCCTGCCTCACTTGCTGCCTTGCCCCTGCCTCACTCACAGCCTCACCCCTGCCCCTGCCCCACTCGCTGCCTCACCCCTGCCTCGCCCACAATCTTGCCCCTGCCTGTCAGGCTTCATTCTGACCTTGGCTCAGGGAGCTGTGCTGGGTAGGGTCCCAGGCCTCACTCCAGGCTGGCTGTGGCATCCTCAGAGCCCCGGGCCCACTGTCTGCTTCCCTCCCCAGAGGTGGCTGACGGCCTATGCTGTGTGCTGACCACGCCCTGCCTGACGCAAAGCACGGCCGCCCCGGCAGCGAGGGCCCCCAGCTCGCCGGTCACCTTGCGCCAGAAGACTTTCGACTGGAAGAGGGTATCCAGGTGTGTGTGTGTGTGTGTGTGCATGCGTGCATGTCCGCCACACACTTGGGAGCACAAAACAGCATGTGAGGCTGGCACAGGCACACCATGGCCAGTGTCAGCTGGCCCTGCCGAAACCTGGGAGCACTGGGGCAGGTACAGACCCCTGGGAGGCCTCCTGCAGCCTATGGCAGCTCTCTGCCACGCCCCTCGGTGCCATGCTTCCGCCAGTGTTTACTGAGTCCGACACAATGTTAACAGGACATCTTCCCACTGAGATACGTCACTCAGCTTCTATATGTGAGACTCCCAGAGAGTCACATACAAGTAAATTTTGTGAAAATTTAATTTAATATTATTTAATCCCATTCACAAAGTTTAAGCACACTAGTAAAATTCTAAAGTTGCTTAATTTATGATAAGGAAAAAACACCTCCCGCTGATTTGTTCTGTTTATCCGATCATCAGCCATCACATGTTAAGGGCTATCTGTACTTTGGGGCTGGTGGGTTATCTCATTAATTAATGCTCATCCAGACACATCATTGTCAAAGTCAAAGGAAATCAGAAACCAGAGTTGCCTGGGAGATGTGCAACTGCTCTTCCTGTAAACACAACAGAGAAACCTTCACTGCTGGTGGACGTCTGAGCCTTGTGAGGGGCGGTGGCTCAGGCCCACTGGCGAGTGATTTGCCCAAGGTCACGCGGTGCCCCAGTGCTAGAACCAGAAGAACAGCAGGTTTGAGAAGCACTAACCCGGCTCCCCTCTTCTCTTCTCACTCGCATGTCCTCACCCTCTCCCCCTCTTTTCCCAACTTGCAGACTGCAGGAAGACGGTGAGGGAGCCGCGAATCCCCTCGGGATGGACGAGTCCCTCTTCAGCTACGGCCTTCGGGAAAGCATCGCCTCCTACCTGTCCCTAACCAGTGACGACAGTGCCCCCTTTGACCGAAAGAAGAAAAGCATCTCCTTGATGTACAGTGGGAGCAAGAGGAAGAGTTCTCTGTTCTCCTCGCCACCCTACTTTGAGGACTAGCCAGACAGCAGACAGTGGGGTTCACGCCCACAAGGCACCGAAGTTCCAGCTGTCGCCTGGGGGCAGAGCAGAGTTCCTGGATCTCTGGGGCCAAGAGAAGCCACATGGAGACTCCAACTCTCCTCCTCTCTATCCACATCATGACCAAAGGAGCCTCACAGCACGCATGTGACGTCACAGCACGTTGAACTGTGATGGGACAGGGCCATGCACGTGCACACGGTGCAGGTGGGCAGGACACAGACATGCGCCAGGCCCATTCTCCAGCAAACCCCAGGCGGCCACACTCTGAGGGAACACGTGCACAGGAAACCCTGAGAGGAAGACAGATCAAAAGCTGCCATCTGGCTCTGCACATGCAGCCCTGCAGGGAACTCCTTAACCCAGGGGATGCATCGCTTCAGTCTAAGGGAACTCCGTGACACTACACACCAGCCCAAGGGACACGCTGGCCTGAATCAGGAGACGCCTTGGGCATGCTGGGTAAAAGTCAGAGGGCCTCTGTGATGCTGACAGGGCCAGGCAGATGGGGGAGAGGGGACAGCTGGCGGGGAAGGAGCCCATGGGGCTGGAACCGCACAGGCTTCTGTGCTATCGCCAGCCATGGCTTGCAGGGCAGAGAGAGTTACCCCAGGCTGCCTGGATTCTTGCTGTATTAATGCATCAATTATTCCTGCATAGCCACTCGAAGAGGCACCAAGTTAAGTCCCCGTGCAAGGTGTCAGGCCAAAAAAGAAAAAAAAAAAAAAAAAAAGATGGACAAGTCCCAGCTCCTAATGGAGTTGCTGACAGGGAGACAAGTGTCCAAGCCAGTAATACGCCGAGGAGAGTGAAAAAGAGAAACTAACTCATGGCTTAGGATGGGTTTGGATCAGGCAAGAGTGACACAGGAGCGCTCGTTCAGCAGGCTCTCGGGGGTGCAAGGGCCGGCTGCACTAAGAAGTGGCTGGTTCTGCTTACGAAAGGCAGCTGGCGAGGTCCAAACAAGCCTCTCCTTCAGTCTTACTCTAAGCAAGGTCTGAAGTCCACGGGGCTACAAACGCAGAGCTCCAGGAAGGAGGGGAGCCCGAGTGACTGCATCCCGTCCCTATCACTGTGAGAGACCAGAGAGACAGAGGCTGTCCTGCCCAGGCCCTCCAACCAGATCCTGCTGAGAAGGAAGGAGCAGAATACGTGACTCGCTCCCCTCCGTGTCACGGGGACTCGGGGGGAGGAAGGCGTGCGCTGTGGTGTCCCCTGCCGTGGGAGAAGCCCGGCTACTCCTGCCAGCATTCTGCAGATCCCAGCTCACCCCGGCTGCGGTGTGCAGCCATGCCTTCACGTGGCCCTGTGTCCCGGCAGGCCTCAGGCGTTTATGCACGGGGACATCTGTGGTCTTGGCAATCACGGAGGGCTGTGTCAAGGGGACCAGTCAGCGTGTGGGAGACGAATGTAACCTGGGGACTCCGCCTCCCACCGCGAGGCCAGCTGCTGGCCAGAGCCGCCTCCAGATGCCTGCACAGCGTCTTGGGCCTTGTTCCCCACTGTGGGAAACGTGACTGAGACACCAGGGAAGCACTCAGAGGGACTTCCCAGTGGGAAGCATTACACTGTATTAAAGCCCGTATTTATTCCCGATGAAAATAAACCTAATGCGTATTTAAGCCTTGGAAAGCGGGGAGAGTGTCTAGGGTGAGGTGGGAGGGAGGTTCAGGAGCCCTGTGGGTTTGGGATTTTCAAGTCAGGGCCAGCTGGACAGAGGGGCACAACTTCTCCAACACCACAGGAGACTGGCTGGGAGGCACAGACTGTGGGAGGCTTGAGGGCGAGCTCGCACACTGGACAGCACACCCTGAGTGACGGCCATGAGAATTCTGCGTCTCCCTAGACTCTTCACACCACCTGTGACACCTGCCCTGTCCATTCTTCCCAGAGATTCTTGGGACCAGTGCTTTTCAGACTCTGCTCTAGGTGCCAGGCTGCAGCAATGAAAGCCACAGGAGGCTTCTGGGACACGGCACTGACGTCACCCAGAAACGAGAAGCTGTCCCACAGGAGGGAGTGCGGCGCAGGAAACGGCGGGGTTCCATCTGAGGGTGCTCAGGAGGGGCTCCGAGGAGAGGCCTGAGAGGCGAGCTGCAAGCAGGCATGCAAAGACCGGGAAGTGCGCTGGAGGCCGTGGGCACAGCACGGCCGTCCCTACAGGCAGAGCGAGAGTGCAGGCTGAGGGGTCTGCAGGAAGAGGAGTGGCCAGGGCTGAGGGAGGCGGAGGAGGTGGGGAGAGGAGGCAGACAGACAGGTCCGGCAGGGCCTTCGCTAGAGGGCAGGGGCAGGTCCACGCTAAAAGAGCTGGGAAGCCCTCAGCAGGGGAGTGGAACCTTCTCACTCACGGGCTCGATTTAAAAGGGCCACATCAGCTGCCGTGTGGCAGACGGGGTCTATGCACACAGCTCTGTGTTGTCTACTTGCTACAGCCTTAAAGCAAAGGGCGCAGAGGGTTTGAAGATAAAGCCACGGGAAATCTGAGCAAGAGGAAAACGTGTTGTATTCTGAGGCTAAATGGAATTCAAGGGGGAAATAAATTACATCGGAGCAGAGAGCTGCTGCAAAAGGAACCATACATTAAGACAGTGTAACGACTGCCATCTAGTTAATCAACAGTTTCAAAAGGTATCACACAACTAGTACAGAAAGAAACAGCTATGTAATCTTACTTGGAGACTTTAACACACAACTGTCAGAAACTAATGGATTAAGCAAAGGCACACAAACAGCTAGATTTTGACAACACTGTTTAACTTTGCTGCCCACAAATGGAGAAGACATTAGGTCACAGTGGCTGTCCTGATACATTTCAGGGTCAGCCTCTGACAATAATGAAATAAAATTGCAAATAGATTTGTAAAAGGATAGAAAAAAATCTATGACCCTAAAACCCAAAAAACTTAAAGTCCTTCCGTTGAGAAGAAAATGATAGAATAAATACTTAGAAATAAACAACCTAAGGCTACTTTTCAAATTGTGAGAGCCATAGCTGGTAAAATCACAGGCAGGGAGTTGGCTGATTAAAATACACTGATCCAAGAACAAAGAAGGGAAAGCAATGATGTCAGCCTTCAACTCCAGAAGCTAAAAGAACAAGGAGAAAGTGGAGGAGAGTCACAAAGGGAGGGCGTCAGTGAAGCCGAGTTCTCAAAACACAGCCACAGAGAAGCCAGAGGAGAGTTGTGAAGACGCGGCCTGAGCAGTAGGAGTAATATGACAGACAAAACACACACAGGCGTGGCCAAGAGCGCCAAAGGCAGAACAGCAAGCAAACGCACTTCTGCTCCTACCAGCCTGCAGGGGAGAGTGCCCCAAAGCCCTGAGACAGCCTAGGACGGCTCCTCCCTCCCCTCCCCTGCCCTCCCTGCTGTCTGGAACCCAGGCAAGCGGCCCAGATGCAGCTCTGCAGAGCAGGGAGCTGAGAGCAAGGCCCTAAGGGATGGCAGAGAGCCACTGAGAACAAACCAGGGCCCTGAGCAACACCTGGACACGTCTCACCTTGGGAAATGACAACAGAAAAATAGAGAAAAAGCTTCTTCACTCCATAAGCTACTTTAGTGGTAGGTCTCTCTGTTAACGATATCTGAGCATTTTGCCCCAACAATTACAGAACTAATCCTGCCATTATTTGCCAATGATGAGGTGTCTTCATAGAAAATCCAATGAAACCAACAGGCAAGACTTTAGAAGTGATGAGACATCAGCCAGTTGCTAAGTCAACTTATTCTTCTGTGGAAAAATTACAGTAATTTGCTAAACCAAGTCATTCCCAGAGCTGGAAAACACAACGGAAACTAAGTCACCATCCACAAAACCAACCAAACGATAGCCTATGGAGGAGCGTGCCTCGCAACCTTCACGTGTAAGGGTCCAAAACTAGGAAAAGACCCGAGGAGTTGTGGGGTTAACCTGATGTATGGCTGCAAGGCGGAACATCAAAAACACAGGGCTTCTTTTTCTCCCTAAAATTAAACAAAAAAATTCCACGAAACTAATCTTATAGTCCCAGAAGGAATATTAGAAAAAATTAACTTATTCTAAAATACATACGGAAGCCTCAGAGCCCATGAACAGCTAGGGTAATTTTGAGCCAAATAAGCCTAAGGGAGGCACTCACACTAGGAGAGCTATTGCCCAAACAACAGAAAATAGTGTTCTGGCCCCCAACCACCGTCTTCCTCCACGTCAGTTTAATGGAATGTGGCACGCACGGTCTCAGGCACCCTTTGTGAACCAGGGACTCTCTGAGCGTTAAGGAAGTGCTAGGAGAATTACACTTCCATCAGGGTGACAAGCAACTCACAGGAGAAGTGAAATAAGAAATGTCAGAAAAATGCCAAGGGTGTAAGACAAGACAGAATTCCTGAGAACTGCTCCCTGACGTGCTGTGGCGTTTGGATCTGCTTGTCCCAGTTGAGACCTCTGCTGAGATGTCATTGCTAACGTGATGGCAGCACGAAGTGGCGGGGACTTTCAGAGGTGTCTGGGTCATGGGGCTCTTCTGTCACGAAGGCATTGGTGTAGTTCCCAGGGGTGGGTGAGCTGTCCCGATGTGGGTGTTACAGCTCCCTCTGCCCTGCCTCTGCTCGCACAGTCTTGCCTTCTGCTTTTCGGCCACACGTGGAGCAGGCTGGAGGCCCTCGCAGGAAGCTGAGCAGATGCCGGGGCCCTGACCTTACATTTTTCAGCCCCCAAGAGCCAAAATCTACCCCTTGTCTTTCTATAAAGTGCCAAGCCGCTGGCCTCCTGTCACAGCAACAGAACACAGACTGAGGCAGGGAGTCTCTTCACTAAGGTGACCTTCCCTCTGCTCTGAGAACAGGGGGAAGGGCTGGAGGCCTGGGAACTCAGCTGAGCCTGGGGGCAGATCCAAGGATGGTCCAGGTGGACACCGCATGTGCTGCCCACAGTGTAGACTCAAAGGTGCCGGAGAAGGCATGGCATTTCCTAGGAATGCTGCAACCAGTGAGCCTGGAGTGTGGCATTCCAGCGGGAATGGAGGTGGAAAGGGGACAGGAAAGCCTAGCTTGAGGCCAGGGGTTCACCCCAAGGAATGTGGAACTGGAGCAATGCCGAAGGACGGCGAGGGTCCCAGAGTCAAACCACAGAGGACATGATCCCAAAGTCTTCTCTCAAAACTGAGCCCACAAGGCGTGTGTGCGACAAGTCACCCTTCAGCCTGTGCCCCGTCCCCCAGACTTGCTTAGTTTGGAGTTGCTGTCTCTTGTGAGGGAAGTGGGGAGCTTGGATTTCTCGAGTTCCTGTGGTGTGCAGGACACTGCAAACTCTAAGCATGGCAGCTTGCTGTGACCTTGGGAGACGGAACCCACTGCTTTGATTTCACAGGTGGAGGATGCAAGGTGGAAGGTTTGTCCAAAGCCAGGACAGGACTCTCTGATCATAGGCCTGAGAGACCCCTGGGAGAACCTCAAGTTCCTGAAGAAGCAGTCTCATGTCTTTAGGTTCTAATCTCTGCCAATAGTTACCTGCTGTGTGCTCTTTGGCAGGTCATGGAGCCTCTGTGCCACTCAGATTTCTTACCTCTGGACTGAAAAGGGAGTAACGGCCACATGCCAGTCAAAGTGAGGATCTGGGAGATAAGATACGGAAGCACTCTGAGGACCCAAATGTACTAAACAAACAGATGAATAATCATCACCGTAGAAACTCCTCTTGACTGATGTTGTCTTAGCAGCTCCTGCCCCAAGATTCACAGACTTTAGATTCTACTCCCAGATAAACTGCCAACTGACACTCACTCCCCAAACATCTGCCGGGGAAGAGCACATTTAATAACCGCTAATATACTGAAGTATATTTGTCCTTTCATTCCCAAGTAATTTCACATGCATCCCAAGGGCTGCCGGGAGCAGTTGGGAAAGCTGCTTCCAAATGACTCAAACAGACGGGAGGATTTATTTTTAAATACACTGCCATTTGTTAAAACAGATTAGTTTTTGAAATTCCCCAAACACCTAAACCCTGAAAAAGAAAAATCTGCCTTCTGGGCCTTTTGGAAGATGCTTCTGGCATCTTCTGGGTCCTAGTGAGCGCCTCGCTTCCAAGAGGACTCTGGAGAAGTTCCTCCAGGATTAGCGCAACACGAAGGTCTGTTGTCAACACCACACCTGGGAGATGTTTGGGCTCAAACCTCTTGCCATTAAGATGGACCCAGATGGGAAAACACAAGGGGAGGAAGAAGATGCTGGAATGTCTGAATGCTGCCACGTGCACGTGCCCATTTGCTGCCCTGCTGGCCATGTTACCTGGAGAGCGCCTACTGTCAGATTGCTGGGTGGGGGCCTCAGGGCCCTGTGGAGAGCAGTAAGGCATGTCGGCCCCTGTTCTGCTGCAGTTTAAGGTCCGTGAGGGAGGCCAAGCAGGCCCAGCATCCTTATTCACTGGCGGATACCATGATAAACGCTGTGCAGGAGGACAGGCAGAGGCTCTAAGCTGGAGGTCCAGAAGACTTCTCTAAAGGACAAGCAGGGCAGGTGCTAGGATGTGGATATGGGGTGAGCATGTCCCCAGAGGCTCAGGCGTTGCAAGTGTGTGCCCAGGATGGCAATTTGAGAGGTGGTGGGCGTGGAAGAGGGCCCACTGACAGTGAGGTGTTGGGGGTAGCGTCC